AATGACAATAATGAGAGTTTTGATGAAATTATAATTATAATCACATTTTTGATGATAATGAGAATAATTGCAAAAATAATAATAATATTACTATTATTATTATTATTATTACTATTATTATTATCATTATCATTATTTTTATTATTATTATTATTATTATTATTATTATTATTATTATTATTATTATTATTATTATTACTACTACTACTACTACTACTACTACTATTATTATTATTATTATTATTATTATTATTATTATTATTATTATTATTATTATTATTATTATTACTACTACTACTACTACTACTATTATTATTATTATTATTATTATTATTATCATTACTACTATTATTATTATTATTTTTATAATTATTACTACTTTTTTTAGTATCATTATCATTTTTATTATCATTATTATTATTATTTCTGTTATTATATTCATTATTATTGTTATTATTATTTTTATTATTGTTATAATTGCCAAAAAAAATATTACAACTGTAATAATTACAATAATAATAAAATAATGATATTATTTATAAATATCAAAAGTGCGATTTTTGTTATTATTCTATTTTTTATTCCTTTTATTATTTTTATTAGTTCTATTAATTGTATTATTACCAAAAAAATATATATGGCCGCAATAATTACAATAATAATGAAAATAATGATAATTATAATAAAAATGAAAGCTCGATTTTTGTTATTAATATTATTATTATTGTTTTTATTGTTATTATTATTTCCAATAATTGCATAATTAACAAAAAATATATATGGCGGCAATAATTACAATAATAATGATAATAATGATGATAATGATGGTAATAATTACAATAATGATGATAATGATGTTATTAATGATGATAATAATGATGATGATAATGATAATGATGATAATGATGATAATGATGATAATAATAACAATAATAACAATAATAATGTCCATTTATGACAAAAAAAGGGAAAAAGAAAAAAAATCCCAAAAGTCGAAAAAGCGGCAAAAACTAGCGAAATATAGCCTTTTGAGAGTTCACTCAAAAATGAGGTTTTTTCGATTTCAATGATGATTTTGGTGTTTTTTAGGGCTTTTATGATAATTTTATCATAATTGTATTAATTATGACTATAATGATGATAAAAATGACAATAATGAGAGTTTTGATGAAATTATAATTATAATCACATTTTTGATGATAATGAGAATAATTGCAAAAATAATAATAATATTACTATTATTATTATTATTATTACTATTATTATTATCATTATCATTATTTTTATTATTATTATTATTATTATTATTATTATTATTATTATTATTATTATTATTACTACTACTACTACTACTACTACTACTATTATTATTATTATTATTATTATTATTATTATTATTATCATTATTATTATTATTATTATTATTACTACTACTACTACTACTATATTATTATTATTATTATTATTATTATTATTATCATTACTACTATTATTATTATTATTTTTATAATTATTACTACTTTTTTTAGTATCATTATCATTTTTATTATCATTATTATTATTATTTCTGTTATTATATTCATTATTATTGTTATTATTATTTTTATTATTGTTATAATTGCCAAAAAAAATATTACAACTGTAATAATTACAATAATAATAAAATAATGATATTATTTATAAATATCAAAAGTGCGATTTTTGTTATTATTCTATTTTTTATTCCTTTTATTATTTTTATTAGTTCTATTAATTGTATTATTACCAAAAAAATATATATGGCCGCAATAATTACAATAATAATGAAAATAATGATAATTATAAT